TAGAAACTTCTTTAAGCATTACATCAAAACACATGTTGAAAAGATGCATTGCCTGTATGCAAAAGAATGAGCCTGACTTGAGTGGATAATTCTTAGCACTAGCTATTAAGGAATTAATATCAGCCATAAGAAAGAAAGAAACATCACTGACCTGGCATTAGGGGGAGATGATAAAGAACAGAAAGTTCTAGCTGTAGAGATTTAACTGATTTTCATAGCCCTGCACAATGGTAAGTCAGCTCAAAGTAATGTATCTGATCAGTTACCCATGGGGAAATGAGACAGATCCATGAGTCATTTTATTAATTATCTTGTGAGGTTTTACATTTACAGTTGCTCTGATTACTTAACAAGTGACTTTTAGACACCACATAATATGTCAATGGTCTCATCTGTGCATTTACTGAATGCTTATTCTGATAACTAGTAGGTATTAAATATCACTATTCTGAGTGTTTGGTAAGTATTGACCCATTTAGTCTTCAAAATCTCATTCAATCTCATGAGGTAGATACTACAGAGGAAGAAAATGAGAAGCCAGAATTTCAGTAACGTGCCCAAGGTCACACAGGTAGTAAATAATAGAAGTTTTGGAACCACAGACCGTGATCTTGATCATTAACTTCCCACGAGGGCCCTGTGATGGCCCAAACCCCTCAACCACAGAACTTCTAGGTCTCTCGCGTGCATGCATATCACTTAAAGGTCTTGCTATGAAGCAGATTCCAAGTCACTAGGTGTGGGTTAGAGGCTGGGCATCGATAGTATCAATACTGAGTGGCCCGTGGACTACACTTTCAATATCAAGGCACCAGACCACTGCATTTGCACACTCTTTTACCAGGAGCCAAAACTGAAGGTCTAAGGCAAGGTGGGGTTCATGTTAGTGCTAACAACTAAAATATCTAGATATCTTAGTCCAACAGAATTGCCGTGAGATGACACTTCCTGAGCCTCGTTAATGAATCTAAAGTGATCTGATGTTCAGAAACACATATGATTTTGATTATAAGGTGTAGTTTAGCATATAATGATTAACAATGATGTACCGTCTATACTGCACTTATTTTTTTTAAGATTTTATTTATTTATTTGTGTGTGAGAGAGAGAGGGCACAAGCAGGGAGAGCGGCAGGCAGAGGGAGAGGGAGAAGCAGGCTCCCTGCTGAGCAAGGAGCCCGATGCGGGACTCGATCCCAGGACACTGGGATCATGACCTGAGCCGAAGGCAGACGCTTAACCAGCTGAGTCACCCAGGCGTCCTTATACTGCACTTTTTAAATATTGGGTTATTTGATCTTCATGGTAGGTCTGAGCGGTAATGGAGTATGACAAGTATATTTGAGGAAACAGACCCAAGGCGAGTGACGACTGCCATGAGTCTCTTTTGCAGCTGTGACCACACACAGATGCCCAAATTCTTCTTTTCCGTCAGCTGACCTTGATGTCTGGCTATGTTCCATTAACTGATTAAAAGTAAATAGATGCAAAACGATAGTACTGAAACAGGCAATATGCAGCCACATTCTGATTTTGCTTTAAAAACACAGATAACCAAGGCCGAAGGAATTTGGAAGCATTAAGAGTAATTTTCTATGGTTATTACACTAATATAAACCTATCTAAATACAAACAATAAAGCTGCATATATAATTTTATTATGCTGCTAAAATCAAAATTAAAGATGTTTTCTTAGTCCTATTTACTTCCAGGTCCCGAGAACATGTATGAGAAGATATTGGTACTATTTTCTTCCCAGACTTTCTAGGTTTTGTGTGGCCGGCAAGAAACTGGTTATGTCACCTCTTGTGTTTATTTTAATGGAACTAAATATGTTGGAATTACTTTTTTCATATGCAGATGCTAAAAGTTTTATGAAACCATACTCAGAATTCAGAGTTGATCTCTAAATGTCAAATGGATTTACCATCCTTAGAAGACTAATATTTTCACAGAAAAAAAAAAAAAAGTCCCTTTGAGTTACTGTGGAGACAAAGTAATGATGATAAATCAAGTAATGCTGTCAGTCACTAGAAAAGGAAAATTACCAAAGTCTCTATATTTAAAAACACTCGAGAATAGACAGCAAAGATTTATCAAGCCTGGGCCTTTTAAACATATTTGTGATTTATGATGTTGTTTTTCTCCTCACTGACAAAGGAAAGAATACCTCCATTCTTGACAGAAATGGCTACGTGGCACCTCTTTATCACCGTGTTCACTCGTCAAGCTTGAATTGACTTTAAGAATAATGAGCATACTTCGGAAAATTGTGTTTTCTTCAAGTGTACACTTGACTCTAAAACTAAAGACTGGGTTTATTCCGAGTTCATACTGATACTACTGAATCATCAAGTTGTCCTGAACACGCTGTGCAGAGGTTCTCCATGGTAGCTCCTCGGTAGCTCCAAGCATGCTAAGCAACAATCCCTACGACCCTGTCATTAGATGATAGTGGCTGGGGAGGTGTCTGGAAAGTGTTAATGATGGATCTACTGGGATGACCATCCTCCCCCACCCCCAGCATAATTTATTTCATATTAAAGGGACCATCACAATATCTGGCTAATAAAACAAAGAGTTCAGATAGAGAATCATCTATGACTAATCATTTTCTTCCTTCATTAATCTTTGCTGGTGTCTTTCAGACGATGTGAGTTGCACAGAAATGAACAGATAAGAGAGCTTTTGCCTACCTCTGTCACTTTCATTGGCTGCTCTTTTGGGACACTTGTATTTCTGTCCTCAGTTCCTCAAAGGCACCAAGCTGCTCCCAGCCTTTAGACTCACGCATGGTTCCCTCCACCCACAGTTAATATCCCCAGTTTTTCTCTTGGGTTTCCTTGTGATTTATACTTATGATCATAGCAATGCTTTTCCTTAGCATTGCTTGCAGTGACTGATTTGTCTACCTCCTCATTTAACGTGTCTTTTCTACTAAACTAGAAGCAACCTGAGAGTAGGGATTTTGTTTTTGCACCATTGTATCCTTATCACGATTCACATTGTTTGGCCCCTAGTCGTGCAGTAACTATTTGTTGGGAAGTAGAGGGAACTCCTGAGGAACTGCTCATGCTCATGTCCTTTACAAGGGCTAGTGAAGAAAGCCTTATGCCTGTGGAGGCAATTAATGTGTTAAATTTTTTTTTAAGGCAAAAGTAGAATCTTTTGTAATAATAAACTGAGAATTGTCCAGGTGTGATTATGAAGAAATGAAATCCTAAATGAAACCCTAAATCCTTAATGAGAACATACTTATGACTTAGTGAATATTTGTCTTGGATAAAGTATTTATGAGCTACGCTTTGCAAGGATTCATGGACCAGTCTCAGGAGCAGGACTCTTGGCTTCCCCCTACATATACACTTTAGAATAGTAATAGTACTATGGGTAGCTAGTTTTAAACCACTTTTATAGGTCACTCAGAAATTGCATCTTGTAGAAAGTCATGATCTTTTAGAGTACTATTAAATGTTTGGTTATCCACTGCTGTAGTTTGGAGTGTTCAGCATCATTTTAACATTCCTACAGTGTGTTAGCTGTTACCTCTGTTCATCCTGTTGACCACAGAAGTATTGCTGAATAGATTTCTGATGTTTCAATAATAAGAAGTGAAAAACAGAGTACTTTCATTTAACACTTTAATTTTTTTTTTAATTTTATTTTCCAAGAGCTTAAGCTTATCACCCCAAAAGCTGCAGTACACTGGGATATAGGAGTAAAAAGCAACATCCAGGTAAGATATCACCATACAGTCTTCTCTTCACCAAGTAAATACTAAATTGCGGCTCAAACTATACTTAAGAAGTACAGTTGGTCAAAAAATGTAATTTTTGAGAAAGTAGGTTCAAATTCTTCATCTAGGGATAGCCTGGAAATATGCTATGGATGGAACCTTTTATCAAGTTATGAGAATTAAGTGCCCAGGAGGAAATGTATTATTACTTCCTAAAAATGTCTGAATGAAAGCTATTGCTTTGAGTAATGCATTCTCCATAGGTAATTGTTTAGACATTAGAAACTAGCTCCCACATACTTGTGCTTACACATCTTTGTTTTACTCTCCTTTCTAAGGAAGACAAACTGGGAAAGAAATAAGATATTCCACCCCCCAAAGGCCAATAATCCTTAAAAAAAAATCCATTCTGCAAAAACTATTGTTATGGTTCCTGTGAACTTATGACAAGGAATATATCCAGGAACATGGCTTCGAAATCTAAGCTATGTTCCACTGTTTGCAGTTACCTTGGATTTTAACTAGATGTACAAGTTGACTTCTGACCATGGGGAATCCTCTCATGCATGGATTTATGGGGTTGTTGAGGCCATGGCAGATAACCAGTTCCACAGAAGCAACTTCATGTTCTTCTGAGGAAGATCCATAGCACTGTGGAACAAGGAATATAAATGAGCGATGCCACAAGAGACTGCGAATGGGGTTACCAAAATACAACCCTCAAAAATGAACTCTGAAGGTGGAGAATCTACAAGGAAAAATATTTTTCAGTGGTTTCACCATTATGTTAAGAGCACTGATACGCGTTCAATAGCCATGGCATGTGCTTCTTAAGCACGTAACAGTCAAAATATCTGTGGATTCCAAGCTCATTAAGCAGACAGATGAATAAATTTGTTACCAAATAAATAAATAAATAAATAATAAATAAATTCAGCATCGCCAGAATTAAAAAAAGAAAAAAAAAAATCTCAAGTGTCCAGAGGGGAAAACACCAAATGAAACTCTTCAAACTGCAGTAATAAAATATTTGGCCTTTAATCATTTCCAATTAAATTATATTTGAAAGCTCCCCCTCCCCCACCCGTAGTCATGAAGAAACACACCAATTTTTAAACATTTTATAATGGCCAAAGAAGGGGTTTACATAGGTATGTTTATTAATGGAACTCACTTTTTAATTCGTTTTTTTTTTTTTTAGTAAGTTGCTAATCTATTTTAGCCTCAAATCAGTTCCCTCCCATTCTCAATCCCTTTCCTGAGGTCTAACAGTTAATGTCCTCTACCATGAGGAGAGCTTCCTGTGGCACTTTGGGAATTATCTGTTTGGGGCTTAAATAAGCACAGTTGATAAAGTTCTCTCTCTCTTCCTCAGCCCCCACTAAGAATGATAGAGGCATTTCCAGAGGTAAATGATTCTCTTCCTCCCTCTGCTCCTCTTCCTCCGCCCCCTCCTCTTCCTCTTCCGTATCCTCCTCTTCCTCTTCCTCTTCGTCCTCCTCCCCCTCCTCCACATCCACGCAGTCAGCCTCTTCAACCTCCCCTTCATCTTCGGCCTCCTCCTCCTCCTCCTCCTCGCTCTCCTCCTCCTCCTTCTCGTCACACTCCTCCTCCTCCTTTTTCTCCTCGTCGTCGTCCTCCTCCTCCCCGAGCTGTGCGGCTGGAGACTGGTCTTCCTCGTCGGGGTCGGGACCCAAGACCCAAGAGGGATTCTGCACGAAGCTGTACAAAGTTTCGGGCGGCTCCGCGTCTTCCGCGCCGCCGCTGGGGGGCGCGCCGTCCCCGGGGGAGCCCTCGGGGGAGGCCGCGCCGCGCGCCTGGGCCTGCTGCGCCCGCAGCGCCTCCTGCTGGCGCTCCAGCTTCTCTTGCTGCCGCATGTCCTCGTAGATCTGGTTCATGATGAACTGCGTGGTGTTCCGCGGCGCCCGCATGCCGGGGGCCCGCCACCCGTACAGGTTGACTGGCCGCAGCAGCGTGCTCAGATCCACGGGCGGGCTCCTCGGGAAGGAGCGGCGAGGGTGGCGGCGCAGGCCGCGGCCCCTGCGGCCCCAGCGCTTCTTCCTGCCGGGGGGCCTCGCCCAGCCGGGGTTCCAGGGCCCGCGCCAGCAGGAGCAGCAGCAGGGGCAGAACGGGTGCAGACCAAACACTCGGATCACTTGCACTCGGCCGGGAGGCTTCCAGCATCCCGCTGGAGGTGGGCGCCAGGGCCCTCCCCAGCGCCCCCAGTTAGAGCACACGGCCCAGTAGGGCCGCCGGGGTGGTTGGAACCAAGGGCCCGGACCGTGCTGTTGCTTCGGCTGCTTCCTGGGGGGCTCGTACTCAGACTTGGGACCATAGCGCTGGCGCCGCTTGTCTATCGGAGCGCCCCTGCGCCGTCGGTGGCAGGTAGACCAGGTTCGTAACGGGGCGGAGGACGCCCAGCCGCCGCCCAGGTTGAGAGGGTCCTCCCTTTTGTCGAGGGTCTGCGTCATCGTTCAGGGAGCTCCCGGAGGTCTAAATGGAAGCGTCCCAGAAGCTGTCGTCGGTTGGCCAGATCCGAAGCTCTGCAGAGCCTCGTCAGTCTGCGCAGCCCCACGTGCCTGCTACCGGGATGGCGCCTTTCTCTCCAGGAGGAGCGCTCTTCTCCCTCTTCTCCGCTAGCTCGATCGCTCTTCCCTCGTAATCTCTTGTCCTTCGCACCCAAGTTGTCTTGCCCAGGTGGGTTGGGCGGGACTGGGGCTGGGTAAGGATGGTGGGGGAGGAAGGTGTTGGTGGGCGCGCACGGTGCGACCCGCTCCCGGGTCCCACACACACCCGCCTCGGCGGAGGCGCGGGCTGGGAGCCGGGGAGGCAGGGGTTGCGCGTTACCTTGCTGCTCCCTCCCAACCCAGGCGCTTCTCCGTCGCCGTCCTGGCGGGACTGAGGGGGCGCGGGCAGCGGCAGCCTTTAAATACCGGCCGGAGCCCCCGCGTGCCCACCGCGTCCTTGGTTGCCCAGGGCGATAGCCAATTGGGGCCGAGGTCGTTCTCCCTGTGCGAGGAGCGGGGTTCCGGGTGGAACGAGGTGCCCCGTGAATGTTCGCAGGGGGCTTGTGACGCAGTTTTTGAGAGAGGGGAAGAGGGCCCCAGGCTGGGATTGTGCTTCCCAACTCAGACAACGTTTGGGGCAGTTAATTTGAAACCTTTGTGCCACCTGGAGGTGCGGGGATAAAGGTGATGGACCTTTAGCTGAACCCCTTGGAAGCGGGGGGAGAACTTGTATTTTGGAAAACGTATATCCTACACCTTTGGAGGTCGAGGGGATAGAGGAAAAGGCCCTAGAGGCAGAAAACTGGGCCCCACTCCTTACCTTATGGCCTGTGCACACTCTTCAAACTCTTGGGGGTTGTAGTACATCATACGTGAAACACGACCACGAACATTTATTGCGTGTCCTTGCAGCAAGCATGGGCTCATGGCACGTAATCCTAACACCTATAGGCTCTGTGAGGTAGGCATTGTTACCACGCCTCACAGATCAGGAAATTGAGAGGTTAATATACCCAAGGTCGTGGAGACAAGGAACTTTGGGGCTAGTATTTATTTATTTATTTATTTATTTATTTATTTATTTATTTATTTATTTATTAATTATTATTTTTAAAGATTTTATTTATTTATTTGAGACAGAGAAAATGAGAGAGACAGAGAGCACATGAGAGGGGGGAGGGTCAGGAGCCTGCGGAGCAGGGAGCTCAATGCGGGACTCGATCCAGGGACTCCAGGATCATGACCTGAGCCGAAGGCAGTCGCTTAACCAACTGAGCCACCCAGGCGCCCTGGGGCTAGTATTTAAACCTAAGCCTCTTTGGCCCCCGAACCAAATTCTTAACCACGTAGCTGCACTATACTGCCCATCTACCTTAAGTAGGACTCTTGTGATGAGTACACGAAATCCTTTGGGGAAACACTTTGCTAACTGTAGCATAGCATGCAAATGTCCACTGATTAAATAAATAGTACCAGGATGTATACAGTGGGTTTATTCTTGAGAATACAAATATGCCAATTATGTCTTTTGGTGGGTCGCTTTGTCTATCAGACAACACATACACTGGGAGTCTTTATAACATTATGGTTAAGAATATGGACTTTGATTTAAATTAGCATGAACCTCCTCTGAGTGATACTATAATGGTGGATATATGTCGTTATGCATTCATCCAAATCCATAAAATGTACAATATCAAGCCTGAATCCTAATGTGAGCTGTAGACTTTGGGTGATGATGATATGTCAGTGTAGGTTCATCTGTTGAAAGGAAAGTACCATTCTGGGGGGCGCGGATGTTGGTAATGGGGGAAGCTCTGCATGAGTGGGGAGAAGGACTACATGGAAAATCTCTCTATATGGGAAACCTACTCCATTTTAGTGTGAATCTAAAACTGCTCAAAAAGAATTGAAATCTGTTAATGAAAATGTGCTTCAACTTCAATTCAGCTATGATGAACCTCTGTAAATCTCAGGTTCCTAACCCACATCAAGAATACAGTTACGGGGCGCCTGGGTGGCTCAGTCGTTAAGCGTCTGCCTTCGGCTCAGGTCATGGTCCCAGGGTCCTGGGATCGAGCCGACATCGGACTCCCTGCTCCGCGGGAAGCCTGCTTCTCCCTCTCCCACTCCCCCTGCTTGTGTTCCCTCTCTCGCTGTGTCTCTGTCAGATAAATGGATAAAATCTTAAAAAAAAAAAAAAAAAAAAAAGAATACAGTTACAATGCCTATTCCATAGAGTTACGTTAAAGGTTAAGTAAGGTACTTCATTAAAGCAGCTAGTGTGGGTACCCCACGAGCACACAATAGCCGTTAGCTATCATCATTGTCATACTTAAATACTTCAGGACTTTAAGAGAAGTTGGTACAGTGTATATAAAGATAACCAACCCTGTGCGTAATGCCAAAATCAGCATCCCTGCCCTTGTCCCCTTTTCTTGTCCCACTTATTAGAAACATCAAGGACGAGCTACCAGGCTCGATCCTAGAGAAAACCATCCCAGAGTATATCCTTTTATTGCTTTCCTGTGGTGAGTGGAATTGTGGAAAATGGAACATTGCCCACTGGGAACCCGAGTCTATGCAGGCCTCCTGTACATGACAGAGAAGTAAATGTGGGAAAGCCCCGAAGTGTGCAAAGGTCATTTATGCCTTCCTGGTTGAAAATTGAGAACAGGGTGGGGGATCTTGGATCAGGACTCCAACCATTGCCATGGGACCTGTAGACTCCACAGGCTTCATTCAATTTTGTTTGCTCTGTGGTTTGCTGGAGACAAGCCTGCTTAACTCAAAGTGCAGAATACTGACACTTTTAGACCCCAGTGTCCCTTTCTGGATGTAGAATCACACATTTGGTGGTTACTCTCCCCTTACTCTGCTTAATTCAAATTGGAATGCTGATACTGCAGATTTATTTTTCTGAGGACATATGTGTTATACATACTGGGTTTTAATTGGGAACGTTAGAAATTGACCATGTTGCTGTAGTGGAATTCTCATCAATTTCTTCTTTGTTTTAAAGGGATTAACTCACAGATAATTAAAGACATTGTTTTTGTACGATTTTTTTCCATGGTGACATACATTTCGTATTAATTCTCCTTATTAAAGAACGTTAACAAGGTATTGTTCTTGCTCCATCCTTACTCTTCTTAAGAGAAGCGGAAAATTATGATTTATGATTTTTAGTTTTTTTTTTCCGCTAGATTGACATTGTAATTCAAATTGGTCATGTACTGGCAAATCACCCAAGAAAATTACCACCATAGCGTGTTAAACATAACTTTCAGAAATGCAATTAAGGAATTTTTTAATTCCTCTTTTAATTGGCCCATATTCTTTAAATACTGCAAAATGAAATGTTTTAGTATGTAGTATTAGTTTTCTACTGCTGTGTAACAAATTCTCACAAACTTACTTAAAATAACATGCATTTATTATCTTAGAGTTTTCAGGTGTTGGGGGGTCCAGGAAAAGCTTAGTCAGGTCTTCTGCTCAGGGTCTCACCACGCTAAGGTCAAGGCACCTGGCTGGCTTGGGTTCTCATCTGGGGTGCTCCATTTGGGAAAATGTTATGGGCTGAATTTATTTCCTTGTGGCTATATAAGTGAGGGCCCTGCCTCTTAGCTGTCTGTTGGCTGGGGGAATGCCTTTAGATATGGAGGCCACCCATAGGTCCTGGGGGTCCACAGCCATTCTTAGAGACTCTTCTCACTTCCTTGCCATGGGCTTTCTCAGTAGGGCTGCTCATTCCATCAAGTCAGCAAAGCAGATCTCCTTAGTGCTTCGTAGCACAATGAAAATACACACACACACACACACACACGTGTGTATGTATCATAGTATGGGCTTGATATGGACATTTGTGACATCCACTATCTTTGTCCTATTCTATTGGTTAGAAGCAAGACCCAGGTCTTAGCAGCATTCAAGGGGAGAAGGTCACACAAAGACATGAATAGCAAGAAGTAGGAAGTTCACTGGGGGATTACCTTAGAGTCTGTTCACCACACAGACCAACTTGAGTTCAATATGTCCTTCATAGTAACTAGTTAGGACTTTATTTGGGAGATTTTAATGGCATGCAGCATTTTGAAATTCCATTAAATGCTGTATGACAGCATAGGTTAGGCTATGCTTTATGTTACATAGGACATTAAACTGTTAAGTTGAAAACACACTACTCTCTTGGTGTTATTTTTTTGTGCATTTGTGTGAATTGAAAAGGATGAATTCTAACACTTGATGGCAGTAGTAACTCATTCAAGATTCAGTCAGCAAGAGCACCCTATACAAAACAAACTATGAGAAGATAGGTACTTCATTTTTATATTTATCAAGAATGGCATATTTAAACTATTCCAGATTGCCAATGTTAATTACCCTTTATTCTGGTGCAGTGTAATTGGGTATATGTATTAGATTTAACGTTTTTCAATTGGCTTTTGGAAAGCAAGGCTCAGCTAATTAAACTTATAAATAAAATTTTTTAGAGAGAAGTTGGATATACCTGAGAAATTGGTCAGATAAATAAAATTCAACAAATATTTTTTTAGATCCATCTTTGTAACCAGCTAAGTTCTATGGGATATGAAAAAATAAATAAACGGAATGCATTTTATACACTCTCAAAAACTTGCCTTTTGCAACTCTGAAGATAACCATGTACAGTCACTTGAAACCAAAAAGGTAGGCGCCATCTGTTGGTCATAGAAGCTAAATACAAGGTATTAAACCTTCCCAGCTTTTCAAAAAGTGAGATGAAATTAACTCATTTCTTTCTCTTGATAATTTGGGAAGTTGTGGGGTTAGTTGGAAAATTGGTGAGGCATGTTGTGCATCAGGGAGTAACATTGTGACACTTCTCCATTAATGAATTCTCATGTCACTTAAGTAAATTATGAAGAGAAATTTAACTCTGTAAAGAGGTAACCACAAAGACAGTTTCTGCAGATTTAAGGAGG